TTTTCATTCATGAATATGTATAAATATATATAAACATACATAAATATGCATAAATATTCATAAACATAATTATATATGAAATATGTCCATACGTATTCATATATCCTTCTTTCTTCTGTAAAATTATTTTTTTGTGTAATAAAAATAATAACGGTATTGTGAAAACATTAAAAATAATTAAAAATATAATTTTCGTATTATTTGTTTCAGAAAAAATCAAATTTGAAGAAATGTAAAAAAATTACTTATGTATGATTATATATAAAATTATGCATAATTATAAGCAATTTTTTTTACATTTTTCCAAACTTGTTTTTTTTCTAAAACCAAAAATGTGAAAATGATCTTTTTAATTATTTTTAACGTTTTCACATTACTATTATTATTTCTATTATATTATATTAAAAAGTAATTTTACAAAAGAAGGAAGGATATGAACATGTATGGACAGATTTTATATATAATTGTACATATAAATATTTATGCGTGTTTATACATATTTATACAGATTCATATAAAAAAAAAAAAATTTTTACCAGGATTTATGTCGAAACGCATACAAAGTATCATTTATATCGAGAAAATAAGAAGAACAGTTCAAGTCACATAAAATTAGAAAGATCTATATAGCGCAATATTCATTATTCATAAATTACACAAATTTAGTTATATAGAAATTTAAATTATATATGAATAAATGAATGCGAGAAGCAAGATTAAAAATCAAGATAATTCCCGTTCTCAGTCATATCACTAAAAAAATTATGAGAAGAAAATATATTGCGCTATATAACCTCTTCTTTAATTTCATATGACTTGAATCGGCTTGAACCGTTCTTCTCATTTTCTCGATATAAACCGTATTTCGTATGCGTTCCGACAGATCTTCACGCCTTATATGAAATAGACCGTTTTTCATTCATTTCTTGACATAAACCTTTCTTCATGTTTTTCTTGATATAGCACCTTTTACGGCTTAAGCCCGTCTCGATATACATGTAGTTTGTGTTCGGTTTCGACGCTCACATGCTTTAAGCGCGTCAATTGTAATCATTATTCTGTCTTCTTCGTTTATTAAACATAAAATAAGAATAGAAGTGCTGGAAACGTCTAAACCGTACGCAGCCATAATCTACTTACAAGTCCTAAAGCCTTCATCGAATTCTGCAATAAAGAATTAGAGTAAATATGAATCAAGCACTAGTTTCGGATTATATTAAATGCGCAACTAAGTTCTCGCTGTTATTTTGATGGAAATGCCATCAAAATAACAGCGAGAACTTAGTTGCGCACCTAATATATTTAAATAAATTGGGAGTACAAATAAGTTTCCGCCGTTTTTTATCAAAAATTAAGCATTTATTGTGAAAGAACGGTACATAATGTTTTATCCAAAGTATTGTCCATCGCTAGCCACTACTTTTTCCCATCTTTCTGGTAGCATACGGATACCACGTTGGAAGAACGTTTCATCTTTTAAGACTATCCAATTATCGATCCAATTTTTGATATCTTCATATGATGTGAAGTGCTGCTCAGACAGGCCATGCGTCATCGATCGAAATACCAGCTTGATCAAAAAGTTTCCGGAAGAGACCACCAGGTGATGCTCTGAGTCAGCTGATTTGAGTTCTTTTTTTTTGGCTAGGTTGCCACATCTATCATTGACATTTCCATCAAATTTTATCGCCATAGCTTGACATTTGTAAAAATTACGCCGTCTTGAGTATATCTACCTCTGCGCGTGTTTTCGATTTTTTACAGTTTTAAAAATGGAGTTGAATTTGCAACAATGAGTTTGCAACAACGAATACCATCCAACAGCCATCGAATTCACCCGATATGGCTCCCTGCGATTTTTTTCTGTTCGATCGAGTCAAAAAACCTGCGGGGAACGCGTTTTAACAGTCAAAAGGAGGTAATGGAAAAATCGAAGACGGTTCTGATGGCTATACCAATAATAGAGTTCCAGAAATGTTTCGAGAGCTGGATCAAGCGCTGGCATAAGTGCGTTGCAATCGCTGGAGAGTACTTTGAAGGGGACAATATCACTTTTGATGAATAAACTTGTATTTTGAATTTTCTGAATGAATTCCGGAAACTTTTTGATCAAGCAAGTAGATGGTAATTGGAAGGGGCAATGTTGGTGAATACGGCGGATAGAACTTCCCAATTGAGTGTTTCTATGTAGGTTTTGACCGGCGCCGCAACATGTGATCGAGCATTATCATGCAGGAGAATAATTTTGTCATGCCTGGAGTAGTGGACTCAATTGTGTTCGGTAGAGAGCCCCAGTAACGATTTCGTGTGGTTTGAGCAACTCATAATACGACACTAAACTGATCCCACCAAATACACAACATGAGTTTTTTTCCATGAATATTCGGCTTGGCTGTCGATGTTGAAGCATGGCCAGGCGATCCCCATGATTTCCTTTGAGTTATCGTAGTGGATCCATTTTTCATCACCAGTGACTATACGATGTAAACAACCCTTTCGTTTATGCCTGACAAGCAGCATTTCACATATGGAAAATCGGCGTTCAACGTTTCTCGGCTTCAATTCATATGGAATCCAATTCTCTTTTGAATCATGCTTTTGAATCATTCCCAATGATTTCAAACGATGTGAAATTGCTTGTTGAGTTCCTCTTAATGCAAGTGCAAGTTCTTTTTGCGTTTGGCACGAATCTTCATCCAATAATGCTTCCAATTCCGCGTACACAATTCTTCGTACACTTTCGGCCTTCCGCTACATTCTTTGTCTTCGATGTCAAATTCATCGTTCTTAAACTTTTGAAACCACTCACGACAACTTCTCTCACTTAAGGTAACCTCACCATATGCTTCTACAAGCAATCGATGAGCCTCAGCTGCAGATTTCTTCAAATTAAAGAAGTAAATCAAAAGTTCTCGCAAATGACGCTTATTCGGCCCAAAAAAAAAAATATGATGCTGATACAAAATCGCTAGTATTTCAAGATTGTTGTTGACAGATGTCCAACCTTACGATACTTCTAATCTTTAGAACTAGAAAAAAACGAAGAGTAGTTGAACCGAGATTAAAGTTAATGTACATTAGTGAAAACGGACATTAAATTTCATAAATTTTCATGAAAAATACATTAAATTTTATGATATGTATACAAATATACTTTTTAGTTATAAATACATTAAATTTAATGTAATGTCATGAAATTAAGTTCAAATTGTGTAACTTAAAATTTAATGAAAATTTAAGAACATTTCTAACAGTGTGGTACATTGTGGGGTCTAATTGTGCATAATTGTCATTACTTCATTTAGTTCGAATTAAAACACATAAAACACATAATACTGAAATAAAATCATTCATAATGTAATCTTTATAATCAATTATAATATACATGTATATGTACACGCTTCCGATTTGCAATGCCGAACGCACCTAGGCTGTGGTGAAATTTAAGTCTCGCTACAAATACTTTGAAGCGTTTGATGGATCAATTAGAAGAAAAATTTTACAAATTGATTTACCAAAAAACGCTTTAAAGCATTTGTAACATCACATTGATCACACCTCTAGTGATGCAATTTGGAACCGCTTGCAGCTGGAATCCCTATAACAAAGTCTAAACACTGCTTTCGCGCATGTCCGTCCGTCATTGACAGTCAAAATCGAAACTGTATCGCCGTGCAATTCAAATGACTGCTTGCTGTTATATGCGAGACAATAGATGTTTGCGAGCTGTAATATCGCCTGTGACCGGAATCTATAATTTATATTTTCGCGGTGCTCTCTCGCGGCAAGTTCCTGCGTCTGCGCATGGCTTTGACCTCCCATCCCTCCCAGCGGCGCGTCTTAGACTGGAATCAGATTATGCATTGAAGATTGAGATTGAAGATTAAAAGATTGAAAGCCTTAAATACAATAGACACAGGCAATAGGCACAGGGAACAGGAAATAACAAGCTGTCCAATCAAAGTTCTGAGATATAATATCGAACACACTAGAACTTACACACCTCTGATTGGACGGCTTGTTATTCACTATTAGCTTTAGACCGGAATTAGATTATGCATTTAAGATTGAGATTAAAGATTAAAGATTGAAATTTCACCGATGAAAATAAAGAAGTTTTGATTCCTTTTGTTCTGATTGGTCAAACTTAGTAGTCTAATTCCGGCCTTAAGACTTAAACATAATAGGCACAGATAATAGTGAATAACGAGCCGTCCAATCAGAGTTCTGGTGTGTAAGTTTGATATTATATCTCAGAGTTCTAATTGGACAGCTTATTATTCCCTGTTTCCTATTACCTGTGCCTATTGTATTTAAACCTTTACGACCGCTAGCTCTCTTGCCGCGAGCATCGGAGCCTATCGAATACTAGATAGTTAGAATAATAAGATGGCAAAGTATAATTTCGTCACGCAGTGTCGAATTCCTTGGGCCATTTGACTCACATCGCTCCAAAAAAACTCTACGTCGTGATCTGGTCGTATTGTCTCCGCGCACTCTATGGAAGCAGAAGCCATCAATTAAGAAAAAGAAGAAAAAGAAGAAGAGAATACTCCAATGTCGGCCGGAGACAATTTACCTTCAAGATAAATTTTATGAATTGTTCAAACTGGTTATTTCAGCGACAAAAAGAATCACGTGGTCAGAATTCAAGCGTTCATTTTGATCACGTGATCCTTTTTGTCGCTGAAACAGTCGATTAGAACAGCTCGTGAAACCTTAAAGCGAGGAGAACTCTTGCATAACTCTTGCATAAAACATAAGGCATAAGAAAATCAACCAATCAAAGTCCTTTATTTCATGGAAAGGAAGGAAACGAAGGACTTTGATTGGTACATTTTCTTATGCATTATACGTGTTATGCATTATGCAAAAATCCGTGCTCCCCGTTTAAGTCCGTAAGCGAAATGATTGAAATTTATTTCTAGGTTTGTCGCGTCGCATGCTCTAACATGCTCTAAAATACTCCTGTCATAGCATTTACTCACTTTAACGTGCTTGAAGTGAGAAGTTATAATAGAGCACATTGGAGTATACGACATATGTGTAAATATGTCGTAAAATATGTGTAAATCAATTAAATTATAAAATAGCGACTTTTTCCAAATGAAAATAACAATGAAGATGTCTTCCCCAAATGATTTCTAATTAATTCCATTCATAAAACACATTAAATAAAATCGTTGTCTGTTAACTTGACGCGTAATAAAATTTGTTAATAATAAGAAAAATACTATTATCCAAATGTTTAAATACTTTTCCTAAATTTTCCCAAACGATATCTAAATTATATAATATACACAAACACATATGTATATATATATATATATATATATATATATATATATATGTATAAATAACATAAATAAATCAAAAATATTTAATTTGTCTGCTATCTTGTCAGTAGTCCATTATTTCCACCATGGTCAATCCCTTCCACCATGATTCGCAAGTATCAGTTTATGTTGGTTTCAGTTGGTTTGTGTGTCAAGTGCACATCAGTGCACATAAATTAAAATAGAATGGACTTTGAAAGTCCTGACGTTGAGAAGGAATTTCCTGGATTGTATGCCTCTGAATCGGCGAGGAAAAGTAATGAAAGCGATTGTACGTAATGATTACTGTTATGTTATATTTATATTTCGAACGATTAGATATTGTACACGAAAAATAGAGACAGGTTATGTGATCTGTCAAAATCTAGTCGCAGATGTTATATATTTGCTTTTCTTGCTGTCATTTCACTGTAAGAGATATTTATCTTGTATCATTTATTTTTATACTGCAGTTAGTGACGAGGGCAGCCACGACAAGCATTCCAAAAAGGAGCTTCTGGGTGGAAAACGTAAGGACAAGAAGGACAGAAAGGACAGGGGTTACGCGACTCTAGAGGGTGAGAGTTCACCGGACGAGGATCAGGAAACAAAGTAATATTTGCTTCGAAATCTATGCGATTTCTCTCTTTTATATTGCTGCTTGACACCTACTAATGTAACTAATGTAGTTAATTAGTGAGCATGGTTAACAGATCTTATCTGTTCTTCCTATCTAAAATTAACGAAAACATATGAATAAGGCTACACTATTAATACTCGATAATTATAATTAATGGCCATCCATTCATAATTGTTCTATATTTCTTATCAGCACTAGCTTTCTCTTGCATCACTGAGCCTGATTTTGTTTTTATAAATGGAAAGCAGACTTATTTTAAATATTTATGATTACATATTATTGCTTATACTAATTCTGATTTGCTCAGTGAACATTTTATTATAAAAGTCTTTATTATGTATAAAATAATAATTAATCGCAAATTACTCTTAAAATAATTACACTTTTTCAAATGTCCTATATAATATTGAATGTAATATGTGATTTATTACATAGAAGTCCTTCAAAATCAAAAAAGACCAAAGCCTTTAAATTCCCAACTAAAAAGGAGAAACGTGAAAAATCACGAGAGAAAGAGGCGAAAGAAAAAGATGTTGAAAAGGAGAAGGATAAAAAAAAGAAGGAAAAGGATGAGAAGGATGTGGACAAGGAAAAGCGAAAAGACAAGGATAAAGATAAATCCAAACAAAAATTAAAGGATCGGAAAAAAGGAAAACATGAAGGTTTGGATATTGGCGGTAAGATCATAATTTGTACAAATACAATTGATATATTTTGATTTGTTTCATCAATTTCTTAAAAAAAAAATATATATATATGTATAATATTCTTCAGAGGAACAACCAATTTTTGGGGTTAGTCTTCATCTGGCAGTCGAAAGAAGCTGTTGCCACGACGGAGTCAAATTACCTTTGGTGGTGCGAGATTGCATAGATTATGTAGAAGAGCATGGGATGAACGTGGAAGGCTTGTACAAAGTCCCTGGGGTGAAGTCAAAAATTCAGCACTTGAAAAAATTGTATAATAATCGAGAGCTAGTGAATATATCCGAGTTCGAACCCACGGTAGCTACGAGCTTATTGATACTCTTTCTTAGGTTTGTATATCTGCGAATTCTATCCTCCTTCTCACCATGTGTTTTAAGATCAAACGAAAAAGTGCGCATTGTGGTGATGTAGAGAGCTGCCAGAGCCCGTGCTGGAGAATAGCGAAACGATATCGCGCTTCGAGCAAGCAGCGTCGACCAAGGATGTCGCTCAACGGGAAGCGCAATTGGCCCAGTTGACACAGCAGTTACCTGAATGCAACAGGATTCTTCTGGCATGGGTCATATTGCATCTGGACAATGTCACGACACGTGTATGTTCAAAATATTATTGGTTCAATGCAAAAGATCCGTCAGATGAGCTTAGATGTTTAGATCCTTTTAGAGATAAAAATTTTCAATTTTTTTTTATTATATTCTAATTTTATTGGAAATAAAAATTGTGAAGCGACATAAATTTTCCAATCAATTTAATACATTATTCTCTTAAAACATATAATTGATTTTCAATAAATTTTACTTCAGGAGAAAACAACAAAAATGAACGCACAAACGATTTCAATGACATTAAGCCCGGTTCTACAAATGAGTCACAGATTGTTATTGGCTTTATTATTCCATTGCAAAGCTCTGTTTCCAAATATACAATTGACAAAGTATGTTCCACCGTTATCGTCTGGTAGTACGAATCTGCCAGATTCCGTGGAGGGTATAGCTGCGGAATTATCCAAACAGGAATCGTTACTGTCCCAAATTCATATGCAAATGAATGCCGGTTTTGTAACGAAATCTCGTGAAGAACAATTATGGGAGGTACAACGCATGATAACGCAACTAAAGGTACAGAGAGCTACAAGAATGTTTTAAAAATTCGTATCGTATAAAGAACATTGACATAATAAATTGTACTTTGCAGAGAAAATGTAAGACTGTTCAAAAATTGGAAGGTGCTACGCAAAAAAGTCTGGATGAAGAAATAAAGTCCGATAATATTCCAACGGAATCTATTTCGCAGAAGTCAAAAACTGCAGACGAAGATTCTGGACAGACAATATCTGGTGATGTTCAATCGTCAACCAATTCGACATTGATAAAAAAAGACAACAAATTGCATAGCGCAGAAGAGACGAAAGAGAAGTGTTCTTGCTCAGGTAACAGTGTGAACGTCACGCAAAATGAACAAAATGTAAATGTACAAGAGAAAGACACGGTTGATTCCGCGGTTGAGGTTGCAGTCACACCGCAAGAACCTGAGAATATAATGCCGAATGACAGAGCAAATGGTACATAATTAATAGTATATTAATAGTATATAATTTCTATTACATTCTTAAGCTAAGTACACATTATCATTAATTTATATACAGAGTCTGAAGAAGATATCATAGACAAATTGCGAGAAAGGCTGATCTATGAGGAATTGTTGAACATGCAAGCGTTATTGAAATCTCGCATCAATCAGGAGAGAAATGAGATCAAACGATTAATGGAGATGTTGACGGAGCACAGCACAAAAGAAGAAAAGAAGAAGCCCAAAGAGAGGACACATTCTCCTAATGAAGCCGAAATGACGGCCATGATACAGCTAGTCAAAGAAAATCAATTACTTGAGGTACGTTCTTCCATAACAGCTTTCTTATTCTACTTCTGTACATTTACGATTCTCTCTGCAGAAGAAGATGACGACGTTGATACGTAGTATTATCGAGGAGAAAGATGCTTGCGTGGAATTGCGTGTACAACTAGCGGTGCATCAACTAATGGCCAAAACTTGACCGCAGATCTCCTAGCGATCACAGAATCACAACGTCTTTACGCTATAAAGATATGTTCTGACATTACGTTTTTGCACATAATGACCATATATAGTTTATAACATGTTACAATTATCACATGTATCATTAACTCGTTCGATTCTTCCGCGAAGTAATAAAATATACAAAATGCAGCCGAAATCTTTATAATGTATTTTTATAATTCGAATTCCTCATTGAACACCTAGCATATGTATATAAGGAAGGAGAGAGGAGTGACATCCTTCAAATATTCAATAAGGTAAACATAAGAGATTTTTCCTTACAGTAAAAAAAAGTAATATATTATAATAAGAATTCTATATGTATATAATATTTCATATTTCAACACGTCAGCAAAAACATTAACATATTATTATTATATATTAATTACACTGATAAAATTTCAGATAGTTCGATAAATTAAATCCATACATCGAGTCTAGAACGCACTTTACACATTCTGTCCCTTCGTATAAAAAATGAGTCACTTCAGAGAAAATAAAAAAGAAGAAGAAAAATTATTCTCACATTGAGCAGGACAGCAAGAAATTGGAATAAGACTGTTAAAACACAAGACTGCTTGAGATTAAGGCCGAAAAAAATAGAGACGAAAAATAAAATCTTTACAGTAAATAACGAAGCGCGATATTTACTACATATCACACTCTGTCATACATATCTTCTATTTGCGAGTTATATTTTGCTTATAAACTTCAAATTTGCGCATCGTGTATCAATATACTCGCTGTAGATGGATCAGTAAAACAAAAAAGGTAACTTAGGATTAAGGGACCAATTTATCGTGATCAATGTATATTTACAATATTATCTGATAAAGGTACAGCGCTGAATATCGACCCGTATAGGTTTGCGTATAATCTTGATAAAATGCTGCTTTGTGTATTTTATTCGTAGGAAAAATTTGCACACTCGATATAATTTCTTTCTTCATTTTTTTTTGTCATAGGTTCTTTTATCTGTGCATTTGTATAAAAATCTATTAAACGTCCCTCACGCGGCAGAACGCACGCGGAAACTGAGATTGTGCTGAGGACGTTGAGTCAGATTCTCGCATTCATCAGCGAAAGAGGATCACGCAGCCTCTACAGCCTTGAAGAGTAAGAAACTCTTGCGGGCTCTACAGTCGCAACGTAACACAACACAACGTAACGCAACGCTGGGTATTCTCTCGGTATATCGTATTGTATATTGTCAAATAAGTCATTGTAATTCGGAAAAGCGACTCGAAACGTTTTATTGAGACTTGAATTATTACCAGTTCAAGATTTTGGAATCCAACTATTGCAACGCAATATTGTACCGCGTCGTGGAAAAAAATTGTGTCTTTACAGGTACATCTTATATTCAATGCGATATTTTTTCTTTCTCTTTTTTTTTCTTTCGTTCGCAGAGAACGAGATCGAGCGACAGATAATACAATAATGTACTCTTACGGCGTCACTATCACAGTGTAATACAACAACTCGCTAAGAATAATACGCGGTACCTACGAGCAGTGAGGGTAGTTTCACTACCTAATCACGAAACTGTATCAGTGTCAGTTTCGCTTAACGATCTGCAATTATAGAAAATATTATATGTGTAACTTTATCACACAGTCATTACAAAGAGACAGTTGAATTGGATTTTGGCGTTCTAATATCGTTTGATTGTTTTACTAATTGTAGAGCATCGAATAAAGTTTAGATGGGATATGATCCTGAGGATGCGGCATTTAGAAAACCTCTACTGTACCTCTGTTCCAAAAAAATTATCGTTAAAAAAGTATTGTTAAATTATATCATAAATATACATATATTAAATTCAAAGAGAGTATCTTGTTGCTTGTTCGCAGATGGGCACGTAGATTTTTTTTTATGAAGTCTATAAAATAATTTACAAAATATTATAAAAGATGTGTAATATATACGTATAAAAAAATAAAGGAATGTTTCCTCTCTTTCTTTCTCTCTCTTTCTTTTCTATGGCCAGTAAATTTTGCAACGATATTTATAATAAAAGAGGATGATTAAAAACATTCCGATATAAGATATCTTAACGACATCCTATATCTTATCTTATCCATTTTGCAATTGTTTGATTTCTCGATTATTCCAATTTTATTTTGTTATAAAATATATTAAGTATTTTTCATATTTATCTGTCAATGAAAATTTGAATATTTTGATAGTTATGACTCAATAAATATTAATTAATATAGAAGTTCGTGATGTAAGATACAATTGAGACAATGCTGTTAGACAGACGATTGCTCAAAATTGCGCGTTTTACTTTATATATAATCGTTTTTATATAGTAAAATTAATGAATTTTACTTAACGTCTCGTAATATCTATTTCGTTCATCTATTTTTTTGAAGTAATGTCAATAATAACACAATATAACTATATATTCTTAAGTGAATCTTTGTATGATAAATTTAATGATATCCTCATTTACATCGTTCACATTATTCATAACTCACTGGATAATATAGCTTCATAATAGCTCTTTTATTTGAATAAATTTTAAGTAATGAGTGTATCGCGATTTGCGTTTCTCTCTCTCTCTCTCTCTCTCTCTCTCTCTCTCTCTCTCCCTCTCTCTCTCTTTTCTACAAGAATCTGTAATGTTACTAATGGTTTTTTTTTAAGCTGCACGTTTGTGTGCACAACATTCTTAAACGAATGAAAGTCCACAATTCATTTAAAATAAGAATATGTCATTGTCAAGAATATGTCATCAAATAAAAATAATGTTATTGGCTTCCTATTCTTTAAAATGTACATATAATGTTGAAAACTTTATTGACAAAATAAATATGAAGAACCGACACTTGTGAATATATCAGAAATGTTAAAACCTACTAAAATATTTCACATAAATTCCATTTTCCTTCCGAGATTATTGTATAAAATTAAGAAAGAAAATATTTTAATAAATCTTTTACAAACAAGTGTTTTATTTTAAATTATCGTTTGTAAGAGACTTATTTGTGGAAAGGTCATCAATGTCTGAGACAATAAAAATATAAAGAAAAATCAACAGGTACGACATCATGTTTACATTATTTTAAACGCAAAAAAACAACATAATACGAAATTTTTTTTAATCTCTATATAAAAGGTCTATCTCTATTAAAATGACTTTTAGAAACAAATGAATACATAACAAAAAAAACATATGTCTTTCTCTAAAATAAAAAATTATTGACTTTTTATCTTTTTATGTACTTTCGTGAAAATTGTAAAAGTATACGATATTTTGAGTGAAAAATATGAAGACGGTTTGTTTCGAAAAATTCAAACAATATATATTTGCTGTATGCTCATAAAACATCATATAATAATCAATTTTGAATAATAATTATATGCATAAAATGTTTAAATTTGATCGTTTCATGAGAGATTAAGAAAGTTCGAGTATAAAGGTAATAAAAAAAAGAAATTTTAGCTTTTTTTATTCGACTACGTTGAAGGTAAAAATATTAAAATGTCCAAAAAGTCTTTCTAAAGGTCATATAAAGAAGAAATAATTGTAAATTTTATTTCCTTTCAATGTTACTACATGAAAATGAAAATCAATATAAATATAATTTGAGCGGATAAAAAGATAGTTACGAAGAATAGGAAGCCAAGCTGTAATATGTAAAATAGTAATATTTATTATCTTTATACTCATCTAAAGCCATAATTTTAATTTCATCATTAATTTAGAGTTTCACTCGCACACACATTCAAGCATTTGGCAGGCAAGAACCTAGAAGAATCTATTTCAGAGAGAGCAGTATTACTACGAAGTCATCATATCATTGACTGAATTTGATATATTAGGTCCTTTTAGGGCATCATTTATGTCTCTTCTAAACATTGATAAATTTTGTGTAAACCTGTGAGAAACAATAATAATCTTTATAAAACGCTTAGGACATATAATAGAATATTATAGTTGCTGCTTTTTTACCTATCTCTATTTTTTGTGAGTAAATTTCTTTCAATCCCATTCATTAAATTTTCAAACCATTGGGCCATCGCTGCTTGCTTATCAACTGGTTGACTTCTAATAATATTTTCCCTTAATTGATTGAAATACTGTAAGAACAGATAAATAAGATGTTATATACGTACATAAAGGCTACCATATATACACACACGCATGCACAAACACACACACACGCACACGCGCGCACACGCGCGCGCGCGCACACGCACACACACACACACACACACACACACACACACACACACAATATATATATAGATAAAAAATTAAGATGAAAAGACATTAAAAAAAAAATAATATTATAGGAATTACTACATTGTAAAGAAACTATCAATATAAACTTACGTCTTCATTTAATAATATGAGACCTAATAAAGGACGAGACATGCTCCATTGGTTTCTACAATCTTCAAACATTATCACATTTAAAACAGTACTTAAAATTTGTTGAAGTATTTCAGGATGCTGTTTCAAAACTTGTAAAAATAATTCTCCTCCTCCAGGAACAACTGCATTTTTCCTTCCTGGATATCCTGAAAATACATATACATATTATAATATTAGTACTATTTTTTATAATTTCTTGCATTAACCAAGCAAGAACGGTCTCAAAAACTCAGAAAGGCATTATTTTTGTGATATTTTTTGTTTTCTTTTTCAAATGTTTTGTGATATTAAATTTTTGGATATCAATCATATAATTTTTTCTGTAAAGTGGAAATTGGAAAGTGGAAATTTATAGGTATATATGTATATAAACATGTAAACATATAAAAAAATTTTCATTTTTACATTTCCATCCTAGGAAAAAATTACATAATTGACCTCCTGAGTGGACAAACTTTACTAAGCATAAATTTTACTATCATTTTTCGATATTGAAAGCTGCAAAGTATTTCAAATTTTGTCTGAAGAATAACAGGTCTGAAGCCCGAACTCTTCGATTAGATAATGCTGATTAAGAATTAATACAGTTTCATAGAAGATACGCTATATATTTTATTAATAATTGTTAAATTAAGGTACCTTTTTGATAAAGTTGCTTAAACAAATATGTCACAATATGATCAAGAGTTGCACAGCAACCGGTACAAACCATAGTATCTGAAATCAAAAAATTTATTTTTGCTTCAGTTTTTATTGTCAAAAAGAAGTGAATATATGTATATCCTTAAAATTCCAGCACAATGAAAAATACGTGCAATCTATCAGCAAAATATCAGCAAAATATCAGCATTACGAACTTATTAATAAAACTTACCTGCTTCTCTCTGTATAATTTAATACTTTGTAATTTAATAAACACAAATAATATTAATAAAAATTATTACAGAAATCTAAATAAAGGAAATTTTAAAGATATTCTACATAAATACATAATTATAATATAAGTATATTATTCTATACAAAATCACAATTATCGTTATTAACTTAAAAACCGCAATTACATAAAATCTAAAAAATTTGATTTTTATTATTTCATATATCTATTTATATATATTACAAAAATTTTAATATATTACATACACACACAAATACAAACGCAATATATATACATACATACATACATATATATATAATATATATATATATATATATATATATATATTTCAAGCATATCAATAATAATACATGCAACTCTCTGCAATTAGTACATTATTATATAAAACATACATAATCTAACTCAATGTTAATGTTATTTAGTAATATATCAGCTGTGCGGCTGATTATCTATGTCAGACCCATTATTCAATTTCGTTTCAATAGAAACAGAAAATTGCATAACATTCATATAGAACATATTATAAAGAATACAAGCTATGTGGTTCTTGCACTTCATATTTAGAGTCCAGGCTCCACGCACTCCAATCCTCTTATAGCCAATGTTATTCATAAAGTGTTCTCAGTGATTTTCTTCATTGTGCATAAATACTTGAAATATGCGTCTGTTCCTTGCATTTTGAACTGTCGCAGTGACTAATTCTATAGGCAAATTTACATTCCAAGCAGTAATGCAAAAAAGCAAATATTAAAACCAATATAAAATTCTAATGTATAAAAAAGATTAATGTTATAATCTTAAGTGATTACGTTCGCAACAATGAAATAGATGTTTATATGACTTAGGAAATATGTTCAAAGGATAATTCAAAGGAAAAATTTATAATAACTTTTTAGTCTTGTATATACTTATAATATATTCTATTGAATAAATTCTTTTTACTCTTTTAATATAACTTTATAAATAAATTATTAATGTACGTTTAATTGTGCTTATGATACATGTAAAATATCTTTAATCATCTTTCCATTTTTTGTAAACTGTAAAAAAATTTTTCTAGAAACATTGACCAAGAAAAACATCTTTTTTAATTCATAGATGTTCGTCTAAGTGTTAAAATTTTAATTTCAAGATATGGCATTGAGGATATAGAGAATAGCAAGAATCAGCCGCACAGACCTGTATAGAAGTCTTTTTGCGCACCTAGTGCTGTAAGGCCTTCGCTGATACTGGAAAGGATGTACAGAAAAACCCTAGGTTCCAAAGTAGACAAAAAGATCATGTGATCTTGCGCCAAACATTC